GGCTTTTAGTTAGCCCCAACAAATTTTTAATTCGTTGGGGCTGGCGTGATGCTGGCAACGCTGGGTGGGGATGCTGGCGATGCTGATTGGGGAAGGGGGGGGCTCATTTAGCTTGTGGGGAGGCTCTTTTTGCCGGCTAAATGAGCCCCCCGGAGTTTGCTGGTAATGCTGGCGACGCTGAGAAACCAAAGCCCAGTTTTTTGGTGGGGATGCCCCAAATTCCAAGAACTGGGTGTGTGGACCAAAGCGTTTGGGGAATGAGTCCAAGCACTTGCCTGCTGGGCATCCGCAGCTGGATGTTCCTCACTATCATCGCAGTGGTTGGCGGGCTCATCGTAGGCCTGCGCAGCGGTAGCGACGGCACCCTAAGATGATTGCAAGTGCTTGCCTGCTGGGGAGCACATTCAGACTTGCAGTGGTCAGTGGGCTCAGGCCCATTGTCGGCCTTCGAAACGCGAGAAGAATTCCCACTTGCAAGAATAGCTCGCGCGCGAAGTCAGCGCACCCTTTCAAGACTGATAACTGCAGCCACTTGCCTGCTGGGCAGGCAACTCGTGATCAGACTTGCAGTGGTCGGCCGGCTCAATGTAGGCCTGCAGCACGCCGGCTTGCTCATGCTTAATAATTCCAAGCTTGCTTGTAACGCGGCAGCGCAGTAAGAGCTGAACCTTGTTGTGTAAATACATGATTCGGCAAGGAGATCGCGGCACCAAACACATTTTCTCGTGAAACCGGTCAGCCCTTGTCATATGATGAACAGCCAGCTTACAAGCTTGACAAAAAGTAAGTGCCCATTGTTCAAGTTCAATGAACAGCTCAAGACACAAAGCTGCCTCCTGCGCAGGATTCGCCGCATCGCCATTGTCTTGGCCATCAGCCTGACAAGGCCCGGAGAAGCCACAGGTAGCAAAACTTGCTGATCCCGGCCCCGTAATAATTCTGGAAACATATGCCGTTGAAACCCCCGCTCAGGCCACAAGAGGGCGCAACTAGTGACATGAGCCAGCGCCTCGATCAGGCCCTGCTGCCCGTCTTCTGGATCTGCCTGGACCGGAGGCCAGCGGCGAGGCACTGACACCCGTGTGTTCACGCGCTGGCCTCCGTGATGGGCATGTCTGGGGCCACAGGTAGCTGTGCAAAGGGGCTTGTTTTGTGGAACCGCTGTTTCAAGATAGGCGCACCACATCACAAGGGTCCTTGCTTCCATCACCATCCACCTGCAAAAGTGCAATTTGAAAACATGATTTAGGACCGTTTTCTGTCACTAGGGAAATATCTAAAAGGTGAAGAAGCCGCCTCGGCCGGCGGGAGCTCCTCCGCTTCGCGCACGTCAAGTTGTGAAGCCTGCCCAGGGCCAGTTGAAACAGGGAAGACTCATGGTTTGCGCAATTGAGCGTAGCGCCTGCTCCAAAGAAGTATCTCCAGAGTCCTGATGCAATTTCACAAAACGCGCGCGATGATTTGTTGCACATGTGCCGGCAGTCCTGTTGGTTGACCACAGCAAGAGGGTCCTCAACCTGCAAGTTAGGCTTGTGATCACGCGTGACATGGGGCAAGTTCGTTGCGACCTCGAATGGTTGTGCATCCAAAGAAGTCCCAAAGTGCAAAGCGCATTGGACATATGCAGACCCTGGCTGCTAGAATTTTCACGCCTACCCAATTTTGGGGAGCCGCGCCTCTCCAGCAGAGGCTTCTGCCGCTGTGCGGTCGGTGTCCACGATCTCATCCTACGCGGAACGATCAACCGATTCACCCATCATCAGAAACAATTCACTATGGATCCAGTAAGTCGTACACGTGTACGATGCTATTATTGACTGTATTTTGCTCATGAGGGGTTTTGACGGGAAATTCAAACGGGCGCCAAGCTTCAGGGGAAGGTCACGATCGATCGATGACAATGTTTGGACAGCACAAAAAAATGGCCCTTTCTTGAGAGACGATTTTGTGAGTTCAGCGTTGCCAAAAGAGGGTACACAAATGACAATTTGGTTGAGGAGGTGGTTGAATATTCGCATTTTTGGGCTTGACAGTTGATCCAGAATTTAGGGATTGTTCAAAGAGCTCTCCAGTTCACCTTTGAAGCAGGCCTGCTTTTTAGAACCACACCCTTGACCGAAAACCTCAAGACTGACCCATGAATTGTTCACGGCCCTCAGGAGACAATGCCTGCTGGCGTGCTCACTGCGCAAAGCAAGGCGGGGTCCTGGCTAGCTGCCACATCGCCCAGCATCAGGGTTGGAGCCCTCATTGCAGCGTCCTCCCAAACAAAAATTCGTGGGTGCGTGTGCCGAATTGATGTACACGTTGAACCATGGCCACACAAGACAGAAAAAAAACACATGTTCGATTTCGGCCTTTGGTTTGCCAGTAGCTGAATTCCAGGGCGTGGTCCATCGTTTCAAGGATGATCTGGAAATGTGCGGATTTGGGGGCCACTTTTCCACAATTGCTGGTTGCTCCTCTGGCGCGCGCACAACGTAGGCCAGCGTAGTGGCTTGGTCCACAGAGCTCCCGCGAGCATCATCGTGCGCGTTAGCATCACAATCATCAGCACCCTCCTCAGCCTCACCTTCACACGCCTGCGCGCATGCGTCTACATCTTCGCCCTGCGCTGCTTCCTTGTCATTCCCGCCGCGTGCTGTCAAAATGTCCTTGAGCATTTGTACTTGCGCGCTCCTCAGAATCACGCGATGCACATGACCCTCAAGTGGGGTCAGAAAACGTCAGGATCACGCAATCGGTTTCTTCGTAAATGCAACGCAGACTCTTAGATCTATTCGGAGTTTTCCGCCAAAGCCGGATTGCGTAAACACCCCGAGCGCGAAGGCAGCCACCGTTGAAGTCCGCCCATGCCTACGTTCGCTAGGCATCCCGCCATACAACCGTGCATCTCGTCTCACAAGCACATTCGTGCACATGCGTACGTGAAATGAGGCCCAGCCTGCACATCTTTCTTTTTCGAGTTCACAAAAAGGGCATGTGTCTCCTCAAGCCACAGGAGCGCCGCCTCACACAACGTACAAAGTCGAACGTGCACATGCGCTACAGCTAAGTCTTACACCCGCGTGCTATTGCAGTCTAAGCGCTCTGAACTTGTTAACGCTTGGAAGTCGCGCCCCAAACTGCGCAAGGATCATGCTCAAAGGGAGGTAGGCTTCCTGCAAAGCCTCTTCGCAGTGGGCATCGTAATTTGATAGGAGATCATGCCCTTCTTTTTTTCGCACGTTGCAAATGCCAAGGTCCCTGATCCACTCGTCAACTGCGATCTTTACGAACTCCAGCCTTAGTGCAACGGTCTAGTAATTGGATTCCCACGAGAAGTTCCATCATTGCACTTTGCTGTTATGGGGCCACCGGATCACTCAATTAAGATCAAGCCGCTCAACGCTGCCCGGTTCAGATTCGTCCGCCATTGCGTGGCAGGCTTTCGAGCTTCGCAGCTGCGACGCGCAACCGCGGCCAGAGCTGAAAAGGAACTACTGTGTTGAACAGCCAGTGATGGAGAAACACAATATTCATCCGCATTCTGATCATGATCTAGATGTTTTTTCTCGTGATTGCCCATCACTGGCAAACCATGCAAGGGGGGGAGCGCCTTCGATTCGCCGTTGGCGAGCTTGCCGCGAAGCATGGCGCATCAGGGCGCATGTTATGACATATGAGCACCTGATCAATCATGTGTTGCATGAGCTGTTTGCTCAACCAATGCAGCTAATTGAAAATTGATCAAACCGTATCAACCGATTTAAAGTCTTCATGAAGTCCATGCCGCATGATCATGAAGAATCCTTGATTTCTTGCCTGAAATGATGTTCGATGATGATCCCGAGCCAGAACCTTCAAGCGGCCTCAAGAACCATGCGATTATGCAAAATGGCCAGGTTCCCCCTCCCCTTGAAACCCGGTTCCGGTAACCAGGCTCCGGTTACCTGCTATATTGGTAACCAGGGCGGTTACCAACTATAGAGGTAACCGGAAGCACTGGGTAAATATATATATATATATATGGAAGTATGTGCTTTGCAACTGGTCTGACACATGTCCATACTCTGCTGCAACAGCTCTCAAACTCACAAAGCCAGGGTCCATGGGGGGGGGGGGGGGGTAGCATATATATATATATATAAAATGGGGGTTTAGAGTGGGATTGCCGGAATTTGACCCTGGACTTTTGCAGCTCCAAGCGGTCCGTGTTGAGACACTCCGACTGGATGCTTTGGTTCTGGATGCTTTGGTTTATTCCCTTCCATTTGCTTAGGAATATGTTTTTGTTTCCCTTGTTGGTTTTAAAAGGAATTTATCACTACTGGACATATTTCGGTTTTTTCCAGGAATCTTCACCAAATGGAAGTTCCTTTGGGGGGTGTCTGATTCCCAAACGGGCTTGAGCTCGGCCTTGTGCGTTGATTTGAAAGTTCGAGCTTGTAGGAAACAACCGTTTCGATCCCTTGGAAAATGGTACCATGTTGAATGCAAGCCTGCGGCCTCACAAAGTGTTTCAGTCTGTTACTACGGGTTCCCCTTCCTTTCGGTTGGTGACGGAATTTTCACCCAGATTTAATAATTTAAGGAAACTTAGAGTCAAAGGGGTGGAGGGTCTAGCGCAAACTCTTTCTTAGAGGTCCTCGAAAAGATCCGGCGCGAGGACTTTGCAACGCAGCCTCCGGTAACATTGCTTGGGATCCTTTGCCGAGAGACTTCTGCTGAGTTTAAACTGCGAACGATGCGACACACACACACACACAGCCCTATGTCATTTGCACTCAATATTGGAGGACACTGCTTCAACGGTATCTAATGGGCCAGAGGACAATCATGTGTATCCTTTTTTTTGACACGCAAGGCATGGCATACATGTAGCTCCCTATACCCTCTTTGGCTTTGGCCTTGCCAGTTTCTGGCTGACCCATGGCCTCTCCGAAACAAAACTCCGCCTTAGGGACCCCTCAAACCCCCTGGCCACATGCACTGCACGCATTTCGGATGTTTCGGCTGAGGCGCGCTGGCCTTGACCCTGGTGGAGGGCAATGAGCTGACGCCGGCCCGGGGCCACCGGGGGGGGGGGGGGAGGAGAACGGGTTTCGGCCCGTGTGGTTTCCCCGTTCAACAAACCTGCAGAGCTCTCAAACAAGTCGCACACCCGTACTTTCCCACTTCTGCCGCGTTTTGTGTGCTGCTGACCGTCACCTTTTTGGTGCGGTTAACAGCACTTTTCGGTCGCCGTTTTTAGGGGGATGTTTGAAGGGAGTATGGGAATAGGGCCCAAAATGAGCCACCAGCAAATCTGGGGGTAGGGTAGAATGCCCAGCCAGGTCCGCTAATTGTCTCCCAGCCTTCGATTCACTTCCTTGATGGATAGACTCTGTTGAATACCATGGAAAGGTAATTGTAAAAAGAACCATAAGAACAATGCGGGCTTGAGCAAACGGCCGTTGGTGCCTGAGCTTCTCAAGAAAGCTAACCGGAGTTGAGGTTGAGCGAAGGTCAAGCAACATGGCTTGCTGCAGGAAGCTTAAACTGGCTGAGGGACTTAGTCTGAGCAACTGAGTCTGGGAACAGAGCTGGGACTGGCTGGGGAAAGGCCCCAAGGTGTTTAGTTCGCCAGTACTTCACACAGAACAAAGCATGAACATAGCCAGTCCGCGAAGCCAACCTTGACAAAAGCCCACCAGCTTCCCAGCCCGTGCTGGCTTGGTCAAACCGGGGGTGGACAGCGAACAAAGGAGAAGGTGGACCGCCTTCCGTTGGACCACTTGAGGGAGCGAAGCCCCGAGATAGGCCAGAGCTACCTGTCGCGCTTTTGGTTGCCATTATAAAGTTATTAGACTTTTTGGTGGGACCCGTAGCTTGGAAATGCAGGAATGCCGTAGGCCTTTTGGCTTCCTGCCCGCAGTCCTAAAGATACAAGCTGAGGATCTGGGAGTTCAAGAAGCTGTGGACCTTGTTTCCTTGTCGCCACCTTCCGTGTAAGGCGAACCTGCTAACAGGACTGGCAGAGGCAAGCTGTGTGGTACATATCTACCCGTTCTGCATGCTCAACTTCATCGAGCCTACCCTCCCTGGAAATATTTTGCGACTAGTGTAACTTGTGACACATGCTGACTGGAAGATAACTGGTAAGGAGTTCCATTTGCTGACTTGGAATTTGCGAGCCGACTCGGGACCCCACGCCCATTGGGGTGATCGCTCAGATCTGAGTTTCGGGTTTTGGCATTGGAGTCAAACCTCGGGCACGTGCAAAAGCTGGCTACCTTGGGGAAACGGCTCCAAACAGGACTGAGGGGATCCGAAGGAAGCCAAAGGAGGGAAGGGGGCCACATTGGATCCAAGAGAACCCCTCAGGACGACCTGAATATAGCCAAGGCGCGGCCGATGGCGGTGGGCTGGTTCGCATTGGGAAGGTACCTTTGGGTCAAGCGACGTGTAGAGAAATGGTGCCTTTATATTGGTTTCGAGCCCACCCGATCCCGAAGCAAACCAATCTCACCATGTAAGTTCTGTGCTTGGGGATCCCTATCTTCAGGCTTTGGACATATTGTAGAATAACGGCGACCCTTAGGTCGAGAGACGCTGCTGCCGGAGATCATGCCTCTCGCCTGACAGTTCCTCTTCACCCAATTTGGTATTCTTGCGGCTGTATCTTTGCACCTTTCCGGTCGTGAGTGGACTCACTCGACTCCTGTGTCTTCTTGGGAAACATTGTCCGTGGCTCAAGCAAGTCGACGTCTTACAGTGGAACTTGGAATGGGCCTGGCACGTTTTCGGCAAACATACCTCAGCAAAGACCCACATCTCGGAATGCATTATTTTGGAGTGAGCTATTCTCTGTGTGGGTTGGAAAAGTTGCAGTAGTGTGACCAGAGTTGACCAAAGCCCGTTTTTGCCTTCCCAGCCGGGGCTTTCCATTTTGCCCCTCCTTTTCTTGCCTGATCAGATGCCGAATGGGGCCGGTTTGGAATCCAACTTTGGATTGGGCTGTCAGCCACCTCCAGGGTTCATGTCTTGTCATCGGGTTTCGGTTTCGAGGGGTTGCATCACGCGAGGTGTTCCTGGACCTGCACGTCTTCAACGGCACGCTGGAGCCCACCAGGCCAAGTAGATGGGCTTGAGATGGGTGAGGCGGGATTTTTTTTGGGGACCGAGGGACCCCCCGAACACGGTGGCTTCCCTTTTTTGGGGTTCCCTTTCAGCCGGCCGAAGACCCGGCCCGGCCGAAACGGAAGGTCTTCAAAACGAAGACCCCAGGGCCGGCGCCGGCCGACCCCAAAGCCAGCGCAGGTCGCCCATGGGCGAGATGGTGTTTATGTCCAGCGCTGAGAAGGCAGGAAACCAAGCGATCTGAATGGCCATTTTGGCCTGGAAGCGAAGGGGAATTTTATGTCTTGCATTTTTGCTGGGATCCATTGAACAAGATCCCCGCCGAACAAGGTTGGTTGTGCTCAAATCCGATTCCATGTCTGTCCACAGGGCGCTCTCCGTGGATCGAAGGCGATCGCCCTCCAAGCGCCTAAGGGTTTGCCCTTCGACAAAGCCTAAGGTTGTACGTCTCCTCTTGAAGGTGTTCGGCAACAGGCTTCGGCAAGGCCACCCCCCCAAAAAGACGCGCCATCCGAGTGTGTCCCCCCCGCCCGCGTGGACGCTGCGCGGCGCGCTTTCGCGGTCAAAAGCTCTGGGGGCTTCCGGAGAGCAAAGACAAAGAAGCAAGCAGCAAGCAATCAACAACCAACCAGCTAGCCGGCCAGCCAAACAACCAGCCAACAAGCCGACCACGAAGCAAGCCAGCAAGCATACATGCATGCAAGCAAGCAAGCAAGCAAGCAAGCAAGCAAGCACACATCAAGATATATGTTTTTTGGTAAACAAGCAAGCGCGTAGCTGCAGCCAACGAACAGCCAAGCAAAAGCAAGCCAAAGAAACAATGCAACAAAGAACCAACATCTCACATACAAACAAACTCGCGAGCAAGCGAGCAAACGAGCAAACGAAAGAGCAAACAAACAAAACATACACACGCACACACCATGCACATCTCGCAGAGGAATTTTGCCAGAAGCGCTTTGCCGTGCTTGCGTGGAAAAAGACACGGAAAAAGAACATTTGGCCTTGCCAAAAGACACGCCCTCAAGTTTCGCGTTTCGCCGGTTTCCTCAAAACTGTGTGTGTGTGTGTGTGTGTGTGTGTGTGTGTGTGAAGCGTCCTGGAGCACGGACGGAAATTCCACATTGCAGGGGGACTGGAGCCGATTTGCCTATCCAGTCCAATGAAGCTACGGCACTTCGGTGGATACCGGATCTGATCAATCCGGCGTACCTGCCTATTTCCTGACCCTCTTTCCTGATTCTTTTTGCGGTTTCTGTTTGTCGCTGTTGCTTCCTGTTCGGTGTCGATGTTGTGACCTGTTGATTTGCATTTGCATTCAAGCATTTTTACTGACTGCGTTTTTGCATCTCGGCTAGTGAAGCCTCTCGAGATAAGTGTGTTTACCCACGGCCTGTCCGACATGGCGCTGTGGGCTGGACTCGCCACATGCGGGAGCCCCCTGCGAGGGGAAGACCGTTCAAGTGTTCAAGTTCAAGCTGCAGTTCAGTTCAGCGCGTTTGACCACGATCAAGGCTGCAGCTTGAGGTCTTAAGGTATTCCGCACCCAAATGGTGCTCTGCTGGTTTCATGCGCCTGCACTGCCTGCACTGCCTGCCTTTGAAGCAAGGCTGCACCCACGAGGTTTCAGGCTCCTAAGCTTCATGCGCCAGTGACGAGTTGGTCATACACCAACTCTGCAATTCGTGGCGTTTATGGAAGCTTTCGTCTCGGATGAGTTCAGTTCAGATTCATCGGCATAGCCACATGAGCCACATGAGGCACTTTCATGAGGCCACTTGACAGGCACCTCTGAGAACCCCTGTGTGCTCGCATGCATTTCTGTGAAACTTTTGCCGTTGCCGCGGGGTTTTGGCGGTCCCCTGGTGGAATTCCCTCTGTTTGGTTTCGATTCGCAGGTTGAAGTTGGCTCGCATGCATTTGCACCATTGACGCTTTTTGCCGCAGTTGTGGTTTTGTTTTCACCCCTTTCCAACCTTCTCTCTCCCTTGCGAGATGGCTGGACACCAGCTCTATGACATGATGCATTCGCTCCTGCACAGCATTGCGACCGGCACCGCGTCCGGCTCACCAGGCAATTGTGGACCGAACTTGCAGCTGTCATCCCAGATGACGCAGCCCATGAACCTTGTACCGTCACCCAACTCGCAGACGGCATCCTTCACACCTTTCCCCATGATGCCCTACGGCGGCCTCTCGAACTTTGGCAACCCGATGGCCATGATGCCCTACGGTGCCCCTCCCAATTACGGCAACTTGGCACCTGGCACCATCATGCCTTTCATGACTCAGAGCAGCATGCCATCTTCACTGCCCGAGCCTCAGCCGGCGCGCGCGCCCGAAGCTGCCGCTGCGGCTCCTGCCGCTACCTCCTCAACCATCCACCCTCCCCCGGACACTCGGCACCATCCCCACTCTCGCAGATCCCGTTCCCGCCACAGACAGCACCGACACTCCCACTCCCACACCAGCCAACACCAGCCACCATCGCAGGCACAACAAGTCGCACCGACGACACGACACCCGACGATCCCGCAGCTACAGCAGGTCACGTTCCCTTTCCCGACACTTCCACCACTCCCGACGTGCACACCACTCCACTGTCTCCCTCCGCTCCCGCTCCCCCGACACAGGTCCCACCATCGACACTCCCCTGCACCCAGTGCCACGACTTCGCACCGACCCACTCACACTACTCATGATTCCCCCTCCTGGCGCACTTCCGGGAAGGACTCCTGGCGCACTTCCGGGAAGGATCCCAACAAGTCTCAATGGTCCTCCTCACACTGGCGGAACCAATCGTGGGGATACCCACCACAGAACAAAAACCGCTGGGACATGCACCACCACGGCGCCAGCCACACCGGCCACCGAAACAACCAGGACAAACGATCGTCCTGGTCACTGCAGCACCATGGGCAGCAACCCCACCCCACTTCCCGCACCGGCCACCACAACACCAGCTTGCCCCCTCGCCCAGCACCTGCGGCGGCCTTCACTTCCACTCCCCCTCCCCCTCCCCCTCCCCGACCCACGCCGGCTACTCCTCACCCTCCCCAACCCCCCTCCGACAACACCGGTGATTTGGATCCCCCTCCATCGGAGGCGGACATCAACGCCACCACCACTTCCGACAACCGGTGGCTTGTTCTATGGAGAAACGTCATGGACACGGCCAAGACTGACCCGCTGCGAGTTCCCACGCCTAGGGAGTTGGGGGAGCTGGACCCGCTTCCAGCCTTGGACATCTCCAGGGTGGAACAGACTAAGGCCATTTTGATGGACCTGGACCCTGCTTTGCCACCTTCACATGCCGATCTCCTCGCGGAATGCTGGGAACTGCGAACCATGGACACGGATGATCCCATACCGTTCGATCCCAGCTTCTACCACCTCTTGGGACGGGAATCACACGGCATGGTGTTCGCAACCACTTGGTTTCCCCGACCTCATCCTTGGCCAGTTGCTGGCGGAGACCCGGAAGCTGGATCCGGCACGGCCTCCCATCACGCTGTCATGTATGTGCACGGCACCACCCCGGATCGAGTGCGCCGCATGTGCCATGAGAACATGATCCGACCCGCTGCTTGGAGGCCCGAGAACCATGACTACCCGAGCTTTGGATGCTACGCTCAGGCCACCCCCACGGCATGCACGCCCGACACGCTCGGCCAGCTCTTGCAGAACTTTACAATCGGAAAGTCTCAACTCGGCGCCATCGCTTTTGGGGAACTACGCTCCATCAATCAGCACAAAATCCTCGAATCCGGGGGAAGCCACGAGGATCAACACAACGTGCGGCGCCACTTCGCATGCCGCCGAGGCAAAAAGTGGTGCCTTCACTCCAAGTTTGCGATGCTGAGAGGCATCGCGCTGCAGCGCCCGGCTTAGCGGGGCGCAAGTGTACCATCTTCCACCCAACCAGGAAAAGAATTGGTGCACTGTTTGATCGCCTTTTTCTTTGCTTTGCTGTTCTGCCTTTCTGCGACCGTTTTCTCGCCTTGTGACCTTACCCGCTTGATTCCGCTCACCAGCTTTTTGGTTCGAACTTTTCCTTTCCCCCGTGTTTTTCGCATGGCTTTCCAACCCCCTCGAGGTTTGGTTCCGATGCTCCAAAGGCAAAACTTACCACCGCAGCCTTCGCCCACGGCATCCCATCATCATGGCATCATGTACGGCAACAACATGGCCGGAAACCCGTGCGGGGCCCTGTCCGGACCTTCCTACGGATGCTCTTCCACGACAGGGACACCGCCAACTACACATCCGACTCCCTGTCAGACCTACGGCCAACCTAGCCCCCATTACCCACCACACCCCGGCCCTCGTCCTCCCTCCTTTGGCGGCTCTCTCCCCCCCCCTCCCGGCGGCGACCCCTTTCCCCCCCCTCCCCCCGGCAACTTCACCCGCCCTCCACCTTCCCCCTCCCCCTCCACCGCCTCGCAAACCAAACCTCCCCCGGCCCTTCGACCCGTCCACTCAGTCCCAACACCAGCCGAGTTCAACCCTGGCGACGATCACTACGACACCACCCGCGTCGCGGGGTACGACCTGCCCAAGGTCATAACGCACACCGCGTTTACTCGGCAAATGGGCATCGAGGGACAAGACATCGCTCGCGTCCCCCTCCTCCACCTCATGCACGAACAGTGGAACAGTTGGTGGTTGCGTCACCTCGCCCACGGAGGCGAAGTCCGCATCGTTGTCGCAAAGTCGATGCCGGAATCAGTGTTTGCTGCTGGACTACTCCGCCAAATCCGACAACGGCACCTCGACCTGGACGCCCTCGCCCTCCATGTCGCCACGCAGGAGGGCGCCTCGACCACCAAACCAGCAGCCATGAAGCTACTCACCAACAAGATCTTCGACTTCCTCATCTCCCTCCGACCCACCACTACGGCCGATCCGGCCTCCGCGGCCACCATACTCCAGCTTCAGCAACAGCTTGCTGACGCACACAACCAACTCGCCCAGCAGGCTTCATCCCCCCCTCTCCCCCCCACACCCACCTCATCCAACAAACGCCCAGCCGATCCATCTCAGGCCTCCCTCCTGGACTTCGGCATGAAGCGACCACGGTTGACTACACCTGACACATCACCGCAGGACGGATCCCCCGCCCTACCCCTGCCCACTCGCATTGCAGACGACTCCCAACCCCCCCCGGCTCCCCCCACCCTCGGCGGCAACCCTCATGACCCCTCCACCCCCGGCGGCACCCCGACCCCTCCCCATCCCCCCTCCCCACCCACTTGGAAGGAGCCCCGCGACTTGCTCCAACCACCTCCCCACGCTTGCCAATGGCTCACCAACAACTTCCCACCCGACCTTTCCGACACCAAAGTCCAGCGATGGATCACCTCCCAGAGAACCAGCAAGGAGAGCAAGCAAGTCCTAAAAAGCTGGTCCAACGACTGCGCAAAATGGGCAACCACACTGGACTCCGACACCAGAGCCCAACTCGAACGAGCCGCTGTGCTATGGGGCATCCCGGTGCGAACCCTATCAAAACTGGGGTCATCGGCCTTGGGCCGCATCCTGGCCGCGGCGAGTCACTTCTACCAGTGACTCTCAACAGCACACCGACAACGACGCACAGCCAGGCAGCACAAATTTTGGCAACACCACTGCTGCCAATTTCTCACTGTCCTCCGTTTCACTCTTCGGTTCTTCCCAACCGATGACGTCACCGCACGTCATTTTTGCTCCTGGCTACTCGCACAGCTTCAGCTACTTGACGTCTGCCATTTCTCCTGTGGTTCCGGCAGACTGAAAGCCCTGCTCACTCGACTTGGCCTGGACAACCCTGCTTCCGATTTCTCTTCTCAGCTTGTCCCTTCAGCGGTTTATCTGAGATTCACCAGCCATCCAAAGTGGCAGACCTTTTTCTACCTCGGAGCCACTCGCACCTCCCTCATGGCACGGGACCACAGTCGACTTCGGAAACTACTCCAAGTTCAGCGACATCATCTGGTCAATGCCGAACTAGCAGTCCGGTGGTGGGCACATTTTGACATTTTCCACCACTACACCTCGGTGCCCATTCACACTGCCGTTCCAGCAACGGACCTATTTGCCACTGAACAGTTCTACATCCAGGAACTGCAACCGTCTCTCAATTTTGGCTTCATCGAGAAACATTTCCGGCCACGCACGGGCTTCACACGCCAATTGGACTTCTCCCAATCCCGGCACATGGGCTTCGCCACCATCTGGCGAAAACGCCGCCGACTGCGACTACCCATCGCCCTACAACAGGCCTTCCTGGCCAAGCGCATGAACAACCGCCTAGATTTGTGGCGATTTTTGGGCGATCTTGGCAGCAACACTCTACGACGATTTGATGCCATCCGTTACATACGGAGCAGAGACTTCCCACCCGCCGCTCTCTATGTCCTTCATCGCATAGCCACGCACCTGCCTGAACCACACCACCAGGCATGCCTTTCCGCCATTCGATCCAGTTTACGATTCCGGGGCCTCATTCCACCTGGCCCCTCCAGACCGATGCTTGCACCAGTCCTCGCCCATCCTTCTTTCCGATCCCTGCTTTTAACCCAACTTCGCGGGTTTATTCGATCTACCACTCGCAGGGCTTTACCGTTTCACATGGCACAACCACGCATTGTCTTCAAGGCACATCGGAGACTCTCCAGTGCCTTGTTCTCACATCTCCAGGCAGCAAAAACCTGGAGCCTCGGTGAAACAACCTGCACATGCACCGACCTCGCCCAACAACACCCATCCCTCCCGAAGCATGACGGACACCTTCTTTTCTCCGGTGCAGACACCCATAAGCTGTTCGACTCCGACACTGCCCACATGCTATCCGGATCGATGCGCAACTCCTTCTTTCCTCCACGAGGGGTCTTGATGAGTCGCCTGACCCAGGCATTTCAACACTGGGCCAGGACCAACAACCTACCCGCGCTCGACCCATCAACCCTCACTACTATTGTCGAATTCCATTTCGACCTCCACCTTTCACACACATCACAGTACTTTCTTCACGCCCACGTCCAACGGGCTCTGCATACCCTGGAACCCCTTGTCCGCCATTGCGAAGACCATGCGGACTCCCGACTCATGATCTATTGTCCCGTTCTCTACGGCAAGATGTTGGAAGCCACTTTTGCGGACCCTGCCATCTTCGCCCCTCTGCCGGTCCCTGCCATTGAGATCCACCCACGACTACGAGAAACCATTGTCACCAGATTCCGCGGCCGCTATCCTTGGGCCGTGACCGGATTCGGAAGGCCAGCCAACGCCTACATCCTCCCGAAGAGGAAGAAGAACTGGACCACTGCCCGACCCATCATCAGTTTCATTGGCGCCTTCTTCCGACCCATGCTCGACGCTCTCGCCAAGCTCCTCCACAGCATGGTGGCCACGGCTTGCCCTGACGCGTTTTCAGGTGGCGACCTCTTTGAACTCATGCGGTCCTTGCACGAGTTTCTAAGCCTCGGCCACACCCATTTGGATTACCGAAACCAGGACCTCTCCGGTTTTTTCACCTCCATCGACAAAGACCGCTTCTTAGCAGCCTGGCGACTACTGCTAACCTGGTACCGACAACGACAACCACACTCCTCTACCACACACCTCACAGTGGACACACTTGACACCTCTGCCATCACCCGCGTCTACAACGGACGCCGTCGCCGACACAAACCCACACAACGCACCCTGTGGCTCGACGACATCCCCGAGATTATTCAGGCCACCCTTGACATGCAGATATTCTCTGTCGGCCTTCGTTCATTCAGGCAAACGCGTGGGGCACCGATGGGATCCCCCGCGTCCCCAGCTCTCTGTTTGATGGTGATCGCGGTCGCCGAACAATGTTGGACCAACACTCACATCACATCGGGACTTCGCTCCGTTGAAGATACTCTCCTACTCCGCTACGTGGACAACAGACTCGTGATCGCAACCCCCAGGTGGCTCTCGACTCCGGCAGCCAACATACTGTGCGACGAACACTTCTATGGTGGAGACATCTTCCTGGAAACAGAAGCCGCCCTGGACTTCTTGGGGTTCCGACTGAACCTCACAAGCAGCACCATCTCCTTCATTCCCTCGCATGAGAAGCACAACATGCTCTCCGACAAGTCAGCCGCACCAATGATACATAAGGAATCTGGATATTATTCCAGACGCACGCTGATCAGCCGAGTTTCCTTTCCTGAATTTCAGCGAGATCAGGATCTTGCAATGTTGAAGAGGTTGTACCTCCAACACGGTTTCACCTTACAAAGAAAAGAAAAACCGTCCTTTGCGAAACCACACTGGTTTTCTTCTCTGCCTTTGCACCCTGACAGATTTGACCTGATTTTCGTGCCGCAGCTGTTTGACTGTTTGACCAAAACCCGTT